GCAGCCCTAGCAAACTATACCACACATCGACACTTAGATCATTCAGAAATCCATAATTCTACCATGCTCTCTTTTTCCGCCTAACAGCAACATTCCCTTTCTCCATCTATGCAACTTTTTAGCAGTGAGCTACAGCCAGTTGTGTCACTGCCAAATGTGAGATGTAAAAGGTCATCTTTGAATTCACAGAGATCTCCTCCCACATTTGGGCAATTATTTAAGTGACTGAAGGGTTAGGGACAGGGGCTTTGAAGTCCCCTGGGCTTAAATACCAGCTTCCACATTTATTAGCTGTGTGATTTGGGCAATTCTCTAAGCGCTTTAGTTTAGCTGCCTGTTGCTAAAGTCTAGTACTGGCACTCACCCGACCAGGTACTACTACGCACTAGTCAAGGAGAAAATACATGTACAGGAATAGCCAGCTTACTGGGAATAATGAAATGCTAAACAGAATTACCTACCATTATCATTATGGTTCCTAAAAAAACTTTAGAATGACATTTGATTTTTCAATAGGTATTTCAGACTCACATTTGTATATATGTAAGTGTTATAATCTGCGAGGTGAAGGCAGTGGCTTGGGCCCTAACTCTGTTTAGTATTGTCTTCCCCACCTTTCGCTTGCAATACTCCTGAAATTTGAGAGGCAAGTAATCTCAAAAAGTGACTCGGAGAATTATATGAAAGAACCTTGTTCGCACTAGTCGTGCCCTTTAACTCCTGGTGTGGTAAGAGCTGGTATAAAATACAACGACTGCGAGTTATAAGTGGACAAAATATACAGAGACAGAATCGCATGCAAATCCGTCAAACAAAAAGAGATAAAAGGAGTGCTAGAAGATGGAAAGCAAGTCTGCTAGAAAAAGAAGAAATGCTAGGAGAAATAAGACACACAAACAGCAAAAGGACAACTTAAATTTTCCCACATAAACTATGTCGTTTGCATGAGTTATTTTCCCCATAGTTCCCAGTCTTACAAATTCCTGCCTCTTTCTTAAATTTTCAGTAACAAATCTAATATACTAGCTTATAAAATAACCTTATTACCTTAGGCAGCAAACCGTCGCTGAAACAATATTTACCACCGGTTCTTTTCAAAACTAGCAAATGTTATGGTGAACCGTCCAAACAAAGCCAGAAAGCATGTCAATGTTGGCCCTTACAACTGTTCGTCCACTAGGATACCGCCCCTTACTGTTCCTCCTATGCTCACTTGTTGAATCCTGTTTTTCTTGAAGCCCTTCTACAAACGCTCGCACAAGCCTGAATCCTCTTACCTTCCACATCAACCTGTTCCTAACTCCATCTGCCCTGGAGTCCGATCGTGTGTCCCTGTGCCTGAGATATTCTATCTTGCTCAAACGTTAGCTACACGAAAAACGCAGAGCGAAAAATAATTCTCATCGTTATTAACGATCTGTGCCTTTTTTGTTCCTCTTTGAGCAAAGTCAATGAACATTTGCGTAAGTTTATTGATGGAAGAAGCGTTCAACATTTAAAAATGGCAACGAACATTTGAAAATCTAAATACAGCTTTATCAATAAATTCAGAAACGCGACAGTCAGTCTCTATCCGGTTAACCCACTTGGCCACTCATATTACTGTGGACCTATTTCGTTTTCTTCACAGCATCAATCTTCATGAGCTATTAACTGTATCCACAGTGGGCATCATACCAAGCCGCTTAATAATTGCTGAGTGCTCTGGCGACTCCATGAAAAGGGAACTTAGAGGAAAAATAAAAACAAAGTACCGTAAATACGGTACAGCGGCGTTTTGTGCTTGCTTTGGAAGCTGTCGGGTAGTGGAAATTGCCCATCACTCGATCAAAATTTAAACTTTGCTCCAAGAACAAAAGATAGACCATTTGGGGATCTCTTATTCCCACTCCCTGACTCCTCAAGGCCGTCCTGATGACGCGGATTGTTTCATGTCTGTCAGTCCCAACCCTAACATGCTGCTCCACGGACCATGTTAAGGTGTGTTAAAAAGCACCTAAAAACACCTCTGATTTGCGCGGCCCTACGCGACCACAGAATTAGGCACAGATCAGAATCAAACAAGACACAGAACATAGATCGTAAAAAGCTAATAATAGAAACTTGCAACGAGAACCACAACCGACCGCGAACCTGAGCGGTCCACGCTGTTACCTGACACGACAGGCTACGAAGTGGATGTAGGCTTGGAGTAGGAACGTGTTCAAATATAAATGAGATCAACCAGACGACACAAGACACTCAAAAGTGTGCTTCTCAGAAGGACTTCAATCTACGCGAGCGACATGCAATCACCACGTGGCTCTGGAAGGGTAAAACATAAACTACGTTCTGAAGGAGCCTAGCTCCGGACTATAGAGACGAAGAACGCGGACGGCCAACTTCGCGCTCCTTCGCGCTCGTAGAAAGAGTGTCGGATCGCACCAGCCACGCCAGGAAGAGGACACCGGTAGGCTGCCCGCGTGAAGTGCACTGTTCGCACCCAAGGACTCGGAGCGCAGAGACGAAGACTTGGTAGCTGCGATCGCTTGCCTCAAACTCGCGCTCAACCGAAACAGAACTCGAACGCACGCGCAGCCACCTCTTTCGAGGAAGGAGTGCCACATGCCACCAGGGCCTACCAAAGCCCCTTAATACCCGCATGCGGTCTTCTGCGGTCCTTTCTGCGCGCCGAGTCTGCGCGCGCAGGCGGAGGCTGTGCTGACGTTGACGCTTTGCGGAGCTATTGTGGGCTTCGGTGCCGCTCGCCTGCCAGGAGATGTTGTGGTATCGTGATCAGGCTGAGTTACTCATGACACAGTTATTCTCTTTTTTTTTCTTTATTTTTCCCTTTGTCTTCCCGAGTCGCTTCAAGATCTCGCGCTTCACCCCGTTAACCACCACCGCACTGGCCCGACGGAGCTGACGCGCCCGAAGGGCTGGGTTGGCGGCAGTGAGCGTGCCGATCGCCGTGGCGCGCCGCCGTAAGTCGCCCTCTGCTCTGCGAGACTAAGCGTTAATGAAGGCATCTTTAACCGTCGTCGAGATGTCGCGTTTCCACATTGCTGGCGAGTTAATCGGACGCTTAACATGCTTTACAAGAGTGCTGAAGACCAGGCTCATCCACGACGCCTTGCACGTGATTCGCGGCAAGCTCCAAAGCCGTTTCAGACAAGACGTGTAGTCAGTCTCAATACGTGGGCTGTTGCAAAGAGCAAACTGTCAACCGAGCAAGAAAGCGTGAAGTGTCACTGTGTTCAGCACCAAAAGTTCTGACTGCATCCGTATCCGTCCTACAGAACCTAGAAAGGTAGTCCGGAACTCAGGATTATATATCCCACTTAATGAGTGTTGGTCGTTTGGAGTGGGGATAAGACGCTTCGGTTTTTAGACAAAGTTGAAAAAACTACAGGTTGAATGATGACTTAAATCGTCGATACCCCTTCACGCTCCACTGTACTGAGTGACAAACATCAGTCACAGTCTGACAAACCTGTAGGTTGGGGGTAGCTTTTAGCATTTTTCTGAGCAACAGTGGGGAACCACTCGTGTAATATTATAACGTTTGCAAAATATTTGTAAACTAAAGAGGTCTGTGTCGCTCACTATTGTGTAGAACCTTGTGGTCCTCAGCGAAGAATTCAGAAGTATAGTAGCCTGTGACAATGTTGCTTTGAATCTGATACGTTGCTAAAAATATTTGGGTCACGGCCGGTTGAATACGTTTACGGCCTGCGCTACATTGGCCAAACCCAACTCGTTAATAGTTTGACCTGACGCGTAAAAGTTGCATTTCCAAGTTTTCACCAGTTGCTTTCGCGGTACAGGGCTACGCAGTCTGCTTCTCGGTGGAACAACCACTTAGTTCTCGACCTTACGTTAGTACGGTCTTGTGGACATACCGTGCTACGTATTCTACACTCTGGCGCGCTGCGCAGCAGTCAGTCAAGCGCTGATTGGACTCCAGTAACACCGCACAGCTCTTACTGGTAATCGATCAGGTAAAAGGTCCTTCATGCGGAGATCACTGAGGAGCGTCGTTTATACCCCGTGTTTTCCGTTTCGGCCAACAAGTTTTAACTCACTTCCTCTACAAAACCGCCTGGTATAGTTCGGGTGAGAATCTTACTGAAGCATTTACAGTGTTCGACTGCACTAAAACAGCATGCGAAGTCGGACTAACTGATTGTAATGCTTGTAACAGCATTGATCACGGCTTAAGCAGTTGGTATAAGATTTATGAGTATTGCTCCACAATAAGCTTGCCACAGATGATGACTCTAGAACGGATTTTAACTTCATTCTTAATTACATTTTGAATTCAGCGCAGCCGATCTTGCGTGCTTGCATCCAACTGTGATGAGCCCGATGTCATTAACCGCTTGGTGGAGGGGCGCCCCTTGTGCTGCAACATCAAAACATCTAATTAGCAGAAGACTGACATCTAACTGAGTGTCGCAGGGCGGGGGACCTGATGTACCTAGATGCTTTAGGGTTGTGCAGAATTGAAGCTGTTAAGGGTTAATCGATCCACTTCCATTACCAGTGCGTACAGTTCTGGCAATGTCCTCACGCTATTGACTCGTTATGCACAGATGTGACACGTACCTAATCCAATCCTTCACTTGGATCATGTCAAGGCTAATGTAGACACGCATATTTTACCCCGTGCAGAAGCTAAATGCTTATTCTTGAGTTTGATAATAGTGCGAACAAGCTGAGCGGTAGGTGTGTCGTAGCGCCTGACTGTTTTGTGCTGACATAGACAACCTGCTCCCTCCTACTCGCGAACTGCCTGCTGAGGAAAATGCCATGTCACCAGCGCTTCTGATACAGGACATTTGGGTTAAGTTATTGTCAGTAACATAAATAAACGCCTACCTAATGATCCTCCTTTTTTCTATATTCCCCCAATACGGTTCGATAACAGACCAACACGAAACTAGGGCCATGGGTACGCTTTGTAAGCCTCCCGTGCACGGCCCCGGTCCCACGGAACGACACAACAACACACGCGAAGGCCGACAAATTGACAGAGAAGGGAAACCCCGTAAGGTGGTTGGTTGCAGTTGTGTAGTAGTTAAGGTAAGTAACTTTATCTTTGGGGTGAAGCTTGTGCTGGGTAACTGCACAACCCTGTATTGTAATAAGTTTGAGGACCTTTTAAAGGAAAAAATAATCTCAAAGGGTTTAAAAATACTTCCTGTATTTTACAAAAGATTCATAGCTAATGATTTAGAAGCCAGTCAATTAATCTGCTTACCTGAATGTGTTTTTGCAGAAATTTTATCAAAGCTGGCAATAGTAAAGCCATGGTACGAGCCTTAAGGACATTGAAGTCGTTAAGGTCCCTAAAAATGGCTATAACAGATTTTAATGATGGGACACATTTTCATAAGACAAAGTTAATTATTAAGGGTTCACTGTGAGTAGTGCTATGAACTTAGTGAAATTTATAAATGTTAATAAGAGATTGCATGTAATTTTTTTAAAGGACTATGGCAAAGAATCTCAGGCCAAGGATGTCATCGAAGAGTACTTCAAATGCAAGAAGTGAACAAATAAAAACTTTGGCTCATGTTTCTTATCTCTGACTTTTTATTTGCAGTAGTAATGTGTTAGTGAAGGGAAAGGTAATTGTAAAATGATTAGTACAGATTAAGTGGGAACATTCTATAAGAAACAAATGCCTGTTTGACCCTTCTGAATGAAAGAAAGGCTGATCAGTGACTGTTGGGGCAATTAAAACATGGACAGCCTAAGCAAAGATAGACCTGCTGTGTGAGGTACCTGGTAACAGCCAGATGTACTTGGATATGGGCATTTATCACTCACTAGACCAGGCATCCTCAAACTACGGCCCGCAGGCCACATGCAGGTGTTTTGGCCCGTTTTTTTTAGTGTGCATAGGAATTTGTTCATAGTTTTTTTTAAACTATAGTCTGGTCCTCCAACTGCCTGAGGGACAATGAACTGGCCCCCTGTTTAAAGCGTTTGAGGACCCCTGCACTAGACCAACCTAGAGCCTGGGGAAAGGCTGAAGTTAGGTAAGTGGGTGTTAATAGATTATAATCCTATGTTGGGACAGTGAGCAGCAGTTGGGAAGATACAAAGGTGGGCAGGATCAAATTTAGGCTGTGGGATATTAGCAGTGCATGGTATCCAGGAATGCTTTTGGATGTTCCTATAGGGAGGGTCATTACCACCATAGATTTCACTGACATCAGTATTTTGCAGAGAAGCAAGTGATGTTTTGATGGCATCCCAGTCCTAGGAACCGTTCCCACAGGGAGAGAAATGGTACCCATATTTGTCAAGTTTCTACATAGCTACAGAGTCTTCAGGCCATGCACTTGGGCCAAACCTGGTTTTTGAATGATTTTTCTTTGCATTTTGAGTATTCACAGGTGTAAGGCCTTTATTTAGAATTTACCATAAAGTAGTGCCTTGTATACTGGGTAGCTTGGTGCTTTTAATTGTAATCTGTAACCAAAAGCTGGTTGGCCTTAGTAAACTAGGATTTCACTATGGATTGAGTAGCCACTGATGTAAAGCAAGAAGCTATAGAGCTAATGTTCACATGAGTATAATGTTAGTGAGTGAGCATGCTAGATGGTGTGACCTGGGATTACTTGATAATATTTAATCTGTCAACTTTAGATGCTATTTTACTTGTTTTTTGTAAGAACAATCATTTACCTTTAATTCTACTTGTGTCACCATCTACTCTAAACACTACCTATTCTATCTGGTACTATTAGAGATGTAATACGGTAGAAGAGAAAACAGGTAAATATCTTTTTCTGTGTTTTCCAATCTTATGGGAAATTCTGCCATAATTCAGGCTGGGGGTATTTGTTATTTTTGAATAGCACTGCTAAAAATTATAAATTGATATTTTGGGAGGCTCTCAAGTGTTCCTATTTTTTTAACTTGCATATTTTTGAGGTTATTAGGAAAACTGTCCAGCCAATGTTATGCCCATTCTGAAAATTTTACCCTCCCACCTACTCTTGGAATCAACAGTTGTCATTGTTTCAATGTTCTATATTATGTCAGCTGCAAAATTCAATGAGTGTTACTCTGTTGGCCAGGCTGGAGTGCAGTGGCAAGATAATAGCTCACTACAGCCTTGAGCTCTGAGCTAAAGCAATCATCCTGCCCCAACTGCCTCTGCTTGGGATTGCAGGTGGTGTGCCACAAAGTCTGGCAATTTTTTTTTTTATTTTTTGTGGAGACCTGGTTACCCTGGCGGGTCTTGAACTCCTGGCTAAAAGTGGATCTTGCTGCCCCAGCTTTAGAAAATGCTAGTGGCTTACAGGTGTGAGCCACCATGCCTACCAGGCTTTTTTTTTAATGCCCTGTTTTGTGTTCCCACTTTTAACCTTTGCCACTCAGTCCCTTATGTAGCTCCCTTTGCCCTCTGGTCAATTGTAATGGTTTCTAGAGGTCAGGCTGGGATTGGTTTACTTTGCAGTGTTCTGGGGCATTCTCCCACTCCCACAGCCTCCTATGATTCCCAAATCTATTTTCTTTGATCAATTCTAGACTCATGGCATATCCCAGACAGCTTCACATGTGCACCTACTTCCACTTAAAATTTTTTTGTATGCCTCGTTGTGAGCTTTGTTACCTCAGAGATGGTTATTGAAGAACATTGGTACTCCCTACCAATTCCAATTTCCATAAGACTAGCGGTTCTGAGGAGCTTAGGCTCCGGGGCTAGGAGACACGCGGACACCCAAATTTGCCTCCTCTCGCGCTCCGTAGAAAGAGCTTTCTGTGGGCCTCCACAGGCCACGCCCCCGCAGGAAGGAGGACACGAGGTGCCGCGTGATGCCTGTTGCGCACGCAAGGACTGGAGGAGCGCAGAACAGAAGATTGGTAGTCATCTTGCCTCAGAACTGCCTCAAACCGGAACAGAACTCGAAGCCCGGCACGGCGAGAGCACCTCTCGAGGGAAGGAGTGCACATGCGCACAGGGCCTAAAGCTTAAATACCGTCATGCGGGCTCTTGCGGCCTCTTCCTGCCGCGCCGGTCGTGCGGAGCGGAGGCTTGGGGTGAGTGACGCTTTTGCGGGAGTTATTGGTGGTGGTCGTGGCTCGGCGTGCCCTGGCCGGTTGTTGGTGGGTATCTGAGTCAAGCTGGTTACTTGATAAGTATTGTTTTTTTTCGTTTTTCGCCTTTTCCAGTGCTTCCAAGATTCGGCTTCACCCGTAAACCCCGCCACGAGGAGGTGCCAAGGGCTGGTTTGGCGTGCAGTGGAGTCGTGGGCGAGTCGCCGTAGGCGCGCCGGCCGTACGTCGCTCTGCTCTGCAGAGCTAAGGCGTTAAATGGTGCGAGGATTTAAAAAAAACCGGTCGTTCTGATTTGTCGCGTTTCAGCATGCTGGCTGAGGTGTATGGACGTTAACACTTTACAGAGGTGCTGAGACCGCCCTCATCACGATGGCCTTGCAGTGAATTCGCGAAGCTGCCAAAGCGTTAGACAAGTACGTGTAGTCAGTCTCCAATATGTGGTTGTTGGCAAACCGGAGCAAAACTGCAACCGAGGGAAGAAGCGTAGTTCATGGTGTTAGCACAAAAGTTCTGACGTGGATCGCGTTCCGTCCTAACAGGAAAACCTAGGAAAGGTTATCGGAACTCAGATCTATATAGCCCACTTAAAATGTGTGGTTGTCGTTGGTGGAATAGCGTTCGTTTTAGCCCAAAGTTAAAACTACAGTGTTGGAATGATGACTTAATTGTCGTATACCCTTGCACTCCCCTTATGGATGAAACATCACAGTCTGCAACCTGTAGGTGTGGGTGTAGTTTACATTTTTGGAGCATAATTGGGGAACCTCGTTTATTTGTAAGTTGCAAAACTATTTGTTAAACTAAAGGATTTGTCTGATATTGTTGGAAGCATTTGTCCTAGTGAACAGTAAGTATAGTAGCTGTGAATTTGTTTGAATCTAGAAATTGTAAATATTTGGTAGGCTTGGTTCGAATACTGTTAGGCTGACTACATTGGCAAACAACTTTATATTTGAGCTGTATGTTTAATGGCATTTTAAAGGTTTCACCAGTTGCTTTGGTCAGGGTAGGCCAGTTGTATCTCGGAACAATACTTTAGTTTGATGTGTGTAGTATGTCTTGGTGTATTGTGTAGTATTTAGCTTGGCGGTGTGACAGTATTCTGTTGGATCGTACATCACAGTCTTACGTGGTGGGGGGGGTAGTTGATATAACAGGTCCCTTATGATATGAGATGTTTAGATTCCGTTGGTTGTTTCGCAAAGTTTTAAAACTACTTCTCTACAAACCTGTATATTTGGGAAATCTTCTGAAGTTGTGTTTCTGATAGATAAAAAGTGACAGTGACTAATATTTATGCTGTACAGATTGGATCAGGCTTAAGCAGTTGTGTATAAGATTTTATGATGTTCTCAATAGGTTGCAAGGTGATGGTTTAACTGGATTTTAAACTTCATTTTAATTACATTTTGATTTTCAGGCGCCCAAGCCTCTTTGGTGTGCTTGCATCCACTGTGATGGCCATGTATGCAAGTTGGTGGAGGGCCCTTGTGCTGAACTCAACTCTAATTAAGGTAAGTTACTAATCTAATTTGATGTGTCTGGATGTTAGTGATGCTTTAGTGTTGTGAGAATTGGACTGGTTAGGGTTGTAATGATACTTCATACAGGTAATTCTGCCAATCTACGCTATTATTTATGCAGATGTGAACGTATATCATTTCCTTGTGGATCATTGTTAGCTAATTGTAGAGCATTTATACCTGCAGAACTAATGTTATTTGATTTGATAATAGTTTCAAAAGTGAGGTAGAGTGTTGTGTCTAGGTGATTGTTTTTGGTGCATTACATGATGACAACTGGCTCCCTCTACTGAAACTGGCTGTGAAGGAAATGCCATGTCACCCTTCTGACTACACACCTTTTGGGTTTAATATTGTCAGTATGCATAATAATGCCTACTAATGTGATTTTTTTTAATTCCCCAATAGGTTGATGACAACGGAAACTAGGAATGGGAGGCCTTTGTAAAATTGACAGAGAAGGAAAACCCGTAAGGTGGTTGTTGCAGTGTGTAGTAGTTAAGGTAAGTAAACTTTATCTTTGGGTGAAGCTTGTGCTGTGGTAACTGCACACCCTGTCATTTGTAATAAGTTTGAGGACCTTTAAAGGAAAAAATATCTCAAAGGGTTTACAAGATTGCCAAGAAACCTCCAGAAGCTAGGGAAGAGGCATGTAACAGAATCTTGCTCACAGCTTCAGAAGGAACTAACCCTGTCCACATCTTCATTTCAGACTTCTAGCTTTCACAACTATGAAATGTTCAGTTTCTGTTGTTTATGCCATGCAGTTTGTGGTGCTTTGTTATGGCAGCCCTAGCAAACTATACCACATCGACACTTAGATCATTCAGAAATCCATAATTCTACCATGCTCTCTTTTTCCGCCTAACAGCAACATTCCCTTTCTCCATCTATGCAACTTTTTAGCAGTGAGCTACAGCCAGTTGTGTCACTGCCAAATGTGAGATGTAAAGAGTCATCTTTGAATTCACAGAGATCTCCTTCC